TGACAAATAAAAATAAAAATAATAGAATTCTTACAAAATCAAAATTTATTGTAAGAAACCTTTACAAAAAAATATCGGTTCTGGTAAAGTTACGGTTTTAAAAAAAATTTAAATAAGGGTTCTGGTGGGGTTCCGGTTTTGAAATTGATTTAAATTAGGGCTTCGGTGAGGTTACGGTTCTCAATATTCAAAGGGTTTCGGTTCCAATACCGGTTCTTTTCGGTACAGTTCCAGTCTCTGCTCGCTACATGATTTAAACGATGGAATCACACCAATAAATCTATTACAGAGCCCTATAATTTTCCTTGGTAGGCTCCTTTAACAATTTAACCTATACTGAATAACTTTCTATTCATTTTACCAAATATAAAATAATATAAATACAATTTTTATAAAAAGTAATTAAACCCATAAAGATGCTCCTTAGCTCTAGTATTATTGGGTAAAATGTCAAATTATTTATAGTTATAAATTTATAACGCAATACTTAACTACTCGTACAAAATTAGATTTGTATTTACTGAATTACTAAAATTCTCTGAAAAATATTGTACATGGAAAAATGAAATTAAATATGTACAATATATTATCGTTTAAAAAATAAAAACTTAAATAATTTTTTTTTTTTTCAAAAACGTTATTATTAGTGCAATGACATTAAATTATGTAGAAAAATAATGCTTTCAAAACAAATACTAAACTCTTCGTTTTAATCTTAAAGTCAATATACACTCAAATCGATCTCTATACTCTATAGAGTATAGGTAGCTAGTTTGTGCAATAATTAAATAAAATATTATTGCAATATTTGAAAACCAGATTGCCGAATGTCGATTCTTGAAATTCCTCGACAAAATCATTTACCTATCTGTGCGGACGTAGTCATGTAAATTAAATCTTTTTACTGCTTCGAATTTCTCGAGTATTTGAAACGTACACGTGTATTTGAGAATAAACTGAGTTATGTATCACGCGACAAACATGTAATTTCGTCAAAGGCCATTAGCGTCGACGTGATTCGAGAATCGACTTCTATGAGCGACTTTCGTTTTCGCTTACGTAGCTGCACACATGTGCGTGCCTACCAATACTGCTGATTGTAAAAATGATGGAATAAACTGTCGGAAAAGGAAAATATTCATCACCGGCAACGCCAAATGTCGCGTCATTTCGCCACGTACGCCACATACCTTAATAATATAAAACGCGAAGAAGGACTAAATTATTTAGATTCAAACGATTCGACAGTCTGTACACTATTATACGCGTGTCCTCGGGACATCACATCTCATCCCGCCGGCAGGAATATTATTATATATACATGTACTGTTTCTGTTTAAACACACACTTATACGTATGTATACATACACATATTATATATATTATATTTATGAATTGTGGTGGCGGTGTTGTTAGTGGCGGCAGTCGCGGTGGTTAACAAACACAAACACGCACTCACGCGCGCGCGTGACGCGCTAAATTGCAGGAAAAACAAGGCGACGAACACAACTAAACTCGTCATCGTCGTCGTCGAATATATATAAATATATATATGTATAGCAGCTAGGCGAAATTCATTTTCAGCCCGCGGCTGCTACACAAACACAATATACGTGTGTGCGTGGGTGTAAATGTGGGTGTGTGAGTGTGTGTTTGTGTGCAGTGTACACTGTTTACGATCGGTTTTTCGCGGGGAGGAAGATTGTATTATATACGCATGTATGACGCCGGATATCGCACATCTGTCACGCACAAAACAACGCGATGTCAAACACTATTGTATGATATTATGTATAGGTATACGCGTTTCCGCGCGATCATATCGACGAGAGAGTATGTGTAAACGGTGTGATGATTGTGACGATTTTTTTCTTCTAAATGGTTAGGTGTAAATAATTAAAAGATAATACAGGTAATATGAAAAATTCTATTAGTTGTTGACGATGAGATAAAATTAAAAAAAAAAAAATCCGGCAAGTCGCCGACAGTAAATTTTTGTGTTTTTTTTTTTTTTTTGTATTTATTATTATTTTGGATTATTTGGAGAAACGAAGTCTACTGCGCTGTACACACTTCGCTTATATGAGCGAGTGGTTTTTTGTGTGCGGGAAAATTTCTTATAACTGTTATGCACGCGCACTTAACGTCGGACATATCGCAAACGTCACACACAAAACAATAACGGGATGCCGAAAATTACAATAGATACGTGCGGATGTCCACGAAAGAGAAAAATAATATGATGTATTATTAATTACTGTATTATATTATAAGTAAATTAATACCACGGCCGTTGTGCTATTGAAATTTTTTAAGGGACCAACGCTACAGTTATTTCCTCAAAAAAAGTAGATCACTATCGTTATTACTAATTTTTTTAACAGTGTGAGATTTTTTCGCTAAATTGTTTTTAAACTTCCTTGACTAATTCACTTCTTGTATATTGTTCATTATCTGCTTCTGTTTATCACAACTATATTATATTTTCAGACGGCAGGCTTTTTCCATGAATCTTATGTTGCGTATGAATATATGACACGTATTTTTTGTAAACAATTAAAAAATATCGTATTTAAATTATTAATAATTGGTATTGACATCTAGTGGTTTCTGGACCTGGACGGAACGTGACAAGTGAGGGGATTAAAATTTAAAACATCAAGTATTAAGTGATATTGTTATTATATGAATACACGAATAACTTAATTATACAATGCACTCAATAAGTATTGTATTAATAATTTTAATTTTAAAATAAGTTTTTATAAATCTAGACGTAGTACGCAAAAAAACTTCCGAAAAATGTTGAGTAATTATTAATTACTTTATTTTTTAAAGACATTTTGAAGATTATGTTTGAAAGTAAATAAGATGAATTTTTAAAATGAATGACAATCGTGTGAATTTAAAATTCTGAATAAACAACGTACAATACGCCAATATATAAAACATGTCTTATAGTCATTTAAAAATAATACGTTTATTCCTATCAATGGACTGCCGGCACACAAAACTAGTTATACAATAATTGTTGTTAATAACAACTATTTAACTTTGGTTTCAAATTATTAATACAAAAATGTAAAAATAAAGTTTTTTGAATAGATAAGGTTTTGTTTTTGTACATAATATAATACATTGGAGATATCAGATAACCAAGGGTGGATATAACAATTTGTTGCTCTCATACCAAATGAAATTCACTGTTCCTATCCTAAAAAAATGACTCATTTTACTAAAAATCCTTAAATTAATTAATTTTTTTAATAATATGAAATTATTATTTATTCAAGTTAAGTTTAAAAAGAAAACGTTACAATTCAAATATAACATCTGCTATTAATTTTTGTAAAGTAAAAATATGTACAAGAAAAACTTAATAAAATCAATAATTTACGTGTACGTATAGTTATTGCCTATTGGCGGACGGACAATAATTATCAACTAATATAATTATAAATGGAGAAATTCAGAATCGAATTGTCAAACGTATAATATTATAGTATACGTGGTGAATCCGTACAGATCACAATCTCTTTAAAGCGAAAGTTTATAAAACGTAAAATATATTATATCTATATTCTATAAACTAAAATTTGTCGCCCTATGTGACCACATAGTTCGAAGTGCCTTAAATCTGCCCCTGGAGATAACGCATTAAAATGGAATTAAAGTTGTTTTCTAAAAACGAGATTGTAAGTGTCCCGTTCGAGGTCGGTCGAAACAAACAGACATGATGTGACCGTAATGTAATCACAAAATAGATTTAATCTCTTCATTGGTATAATTAAAGTTTTATTGATTTTTGATAATAAATAATATTACCACACATTATATTATTTTACGGATATGCCAAATTATAAACTTTTGAAAATGTATAGGTGTTGAGCTAAAATTTCATTTAAACCGTTTAGTTCAAATGGTAATAATTGACGATAATAAAAATCCGGATAGATCCGGCTCTTGTGTGTGTGATTTTCGGCAACCGAACTTACATATCACATATGCCCGTAATAGTAACTTACGATAAATATCGATAACTGACTGTGCATTGTATACAAACGCTGTACCATATATTTTGATACATTTTCTTCTTGTCCGACATTTTAGCTTTTCTCTTTCTATTTCGACTGCGCTAAATTATATTCAGCTACTTTCGACAAACGCGTATCCAAATTCCAATAAGTGTTTACACAATTTATCGCTGTTTCGTTTACATTAGACAATTGTGTTTTTTCTTTTCCTCACGCGCACTAACACCAACTGATCTCTGTCACACTTACTTACTCCTTCACCCTGACTGTATATTATACATGAATACGTACACAACACTGTTCTACGAAAAAATGTAGCACAGAGATAAATACTTATAATCTTCTTGCTGTTTATTATCTTCCAAAACTTCTCGCATGATTCTTATTTTTACGAAAAATTTATTTATGTTTATAACATAATACATTTTTATTATTTATTATTAGTACAACTCGGGATGAACCAGAAAAATACATAACATTGATGATATACAATATTTAAAATTAATATTTGTATAATATTATAAAATAATAATATGTATAGAATTATATATGTCGTAGGCATATAGTCAAATCAGGCATTTTATTAAATGCCTAGGCATATAGTCAAAGAATTTAATGTTTATGCAATTTCACTATCCGCCTAGACATTTAGTCAAATGCCTAGTCATTTAATTAAATGACTAGACATTTAACTAAATGCCTATTTCATGCCAGGCAAATAATAAAAAATCATTTTGTATTATTTTAAAAATTTAAATATATTTTCTATCAGTTATTTATTGCTATTTTATATATAAAAAAAGCTGTGTATTATTTATTAATATGAAAAACACGTATAGATAACTCGTATATGAAATAACATGTTTAATTTTGTGTCATTGTGTCAACTATAACTATTGTTTTAAAAATGAAATAATAAAAAATAAATAAAAAAGTTATATTATAATTACGAGTTTTTGTTACCTATTACTTGTTGTCACATGTTGTAATTTGGTGGCATTTGCTGGAACATTTAAGATTTTTCTTAAAACACAAGCACCTATTGGTTTGACATTGCCGCTTTCCTGATTGGCATTGACATTTAACAAAACCTTGACCGTTGAAAATTGATAAGTTTGCTACTGCTTCACATATGGACACGAATTTGTCTTTTTGTATTTTGCTGTCTTCTAAACCATTATTTGACACTAGTTGAAGTTCTTCTCTCGAACACCAATTTTTTATTATACCAACTTCTGTGCCAATTTGGTAAACGCCGTTCCGAATGTCTATCACTAACCCATTTATATTTTGACTATCGAGAGGTCCTCGGTCTACTTTTGGAACACTTAATACTATTTGATCACCAACCTCTAGTTCTTTAAATAGTTTTTCACTATTTTCTGCCATTTTTTTTAGCTGCTATAGTTTGTCGTTTGTAAGATTCAATGCGGTTAACTTTTATCTGTTTTTCATTATTACATAGCAGACAAATATTTTTAATATCGTTACTATTATTTATAGAATAGCTGCAATTATCAGAATGAATATTTCTTTTACATATAGTACATTGGAGTTCACTACCTGATTTTTCACAAACACTGCAGATATTATTTTTGTCACAATATTTTTTTTTCTTTGAAGGTATATTGTCAAAATTATGTTCCGAATT